GGGGTAGAACGGGTGGGATTCATCGAAGAAAACATCTCGGCTGCGATAAAGTTTGTTGGTGGTAGGATGGAGGAAGAGGTAGTCTGGCGAGTCCGAGTTGTGCCCGAGGTACACGCACGTGATTGTTTTCGGAGCAAGCTTGCCACCAGCTGCACAACGGGCTTGGGAGTTGAGGAGAACATAGGAAGTGCACCCCCATACACGAAGAGGGCGGACGGACGGCTTTTGACCCGTCCACAGCTCTGCGGGGGTGGTGTGGGTGTGGTGAGGATGAGGATGGAGATTGTGGAGGGCGGCAGCATGGAGCATGGCGTATCCCCAAAGAGAGGGAGGGGCGGAAGCATGAGTGAGGAGGCAGCGAGCAATCTGCACCAGGATGCGGTTTTGGCTCTCAGCAACACCGTTCTGTTGAGGGCTGTTTGGGAGGGTGAAGGTCTGATGAATACCCTCAGTAGAGCAGAAAGCTTTGAGAGTGTTGTTGCGGAATTCACCGCCACCGTCAGAGTGAAGAATCTTGATTTTGGTTTTGAAGTGTGAATGAGCCTGCCTTGCCCATTCCATGATAATGGCTGGGGCCTCAGACTTGGCGGTGAGAAGGTGAACGGACACATAGCAGGAATAGTCATCAACGATGACAAGGAAGTAGAAGTGTCCGCCACGGGAACGAACAGGAGTTGGACCCCAAAGGTCCATGTGTACGCGATCAAGAGGTGCGGTAGAGGTGGACTCAGTGGGAGGATGGGGCTGTTCCCGAAGCTTGCTCTGTGCACAGTCAAGGCAAGGTGGTCCAGAAAGAGAGGGGGGTTGTGGAAGTGAGGCGGGCAGCCCGTGAAGGAGTTGTTTGGTGGCAAGGTCTGAAAGTGCGCGGAAGTTGATGTGGCCGAGGCGGTGATGAAATAGCATAGTCTTGTCATTGAGGAGGCGGCAGTGACATGAGGGGGAGTCTGAGGATGGAAGCGGAAGGTTGGTGAGGGAGCATGTTTGAACGGGAGGTACAACTAGTGTGTACAGGTTGTTGGAGTTGAGGGTGAAGCGGGCAAGATGGAGTCCGGTTTTGGCGTCAAACATGTCACAGTAGTCAACATCATTGGGAAAGATGGTGATCACGCCTGCGTGTTGGATTTCCCGCTGTGCAAGAAGGTTGTAGCGGAGGGTAGGGGCACAGATGCCAGTGACTGTGCCGGATGGGAAAGCTGGACAGGAAACTGTGGAGGACCCATGGCATTGGATGGAGAAGCTAGAATCGGCTCCAAGGAGTGAGGTGGGAGCCTGGTAGGGAACGAAGGCAGTTTGGTCTTTAAGCACTGTGTGGGTGGCACCACTGTCTAGTATGAACTCAATTCCCTGTGTGGTTGAAACACCGATGTACTGCGACCCCTTCTCATTAAGAAGACCAGCACCAGAGAACAACAGGTTAAGGCGAACATCAGATGGGGCACTAGCAAATGCCTGAGCAGGTTCCTCCACTGCCTCGACCTGGTTCACGCGACGGGGTGGTGCCCAGTTGGGAGGGCGCTTGTCCTTGGAGACACCGCGGATGTCATACCACTCGTCGTCTCGCTTCTTGAAGCAAGTTGCCTCAGGGTGGTTGGTGCCGTTGCATTTCTGCCCCGCACGTGGACCCTTCCTAATGAGGTACTGGCATGGGGGAAAGGAGTTGCGCCTCTGGCCCTGCTGGGAACGAAATGGGATGCCAGGGGAGTAGCGCACAGCATTGACGGATGCCTGGGCTGCAAGGTCCTTTTCGGCAGAGAGAAGGGCCGAAGCGACTTTCTCGAAGGTGAGTTCCTTGGTGGGGAGCTGCTTGAGCATGGAACTGGTGACGTTGTAGGCCGGGGTGAGTCCGACGAGAAGCCCAGCAGCAGGTGCCTGTTCGGGGAAGGTGATCCCAATGTCCTTGAGCTCCTCATGGATGTTGCGGATTTCAGAGATGTAGTCTGCCATGCCCGGGCATTCCTCAAGGCGGATTTGGAACATGCGAGGAATGAGGATTGCAACTCCCACGGCAGTTTTGTCATGAAAGCGATCCTGGAGGTACTTCCAAATGTCATGCGCAGAGCGGAAGGTGCGGTAGGACTTGACTAACTCGACTGGGGTGGTGGTGATGAAAACTGCCGCATCCGCCTGCTCCAAGAGACTGAAGTCCATCTCATACTTGGTGGTTTTAGCGTCGAAAGCAAGCTTGGCTGTGGCAGTGGCGCCTTCGCCGAGAGGTTCGGGAGGGAGAGGCATCTTCCCCTTGCCGCGATTGAGGAGGATGTCCTTGAGGCAAATCCCCTTGAGCTCCGAGCTAAGGAGGTGCTTCTCCACTCCATAGCACCACTCCCCGAAATTGGTGCTCGTGCCGTTGGGAGCGAGGTTAAGGATGATGAGGTTTCCGACGAGAGTGGAAGTTGAAGTTGCCATTTCGCGCGGAGCGCAGCGCTAAAGTCTCCGATACGTAGCGGAGCGAAGCGGAGCGGAGTTCGGGTGATTTTGGAAATTGAGGAAGTTCGAAACGCGATTTTTGCAATAGAATGACCGTACTATACCCTGATATACTGCTTCGCCAATGCCCCCTGTTCTGCTTCGCTGCTGCCCCTGTTCCGCTTCTCTGCTGCGCCGCTGACCTGTTCTGCTGCGCCGCTGACCTGTTCTGCTGCGCCGCTGGACCTGTTCTGCTGCGCTGCTGAACCTGTTCCGCTGCGCCGCTGAACCTGTTCCGCTGCGCCGCTGAACCTGTTCCGCTGCGCCGCTGAACCTGTTCCGCTGCACCGCTGAACCTGTTCCGCTGCGCCGCTGAAAACTTGTTCCGCTGCGCCGCTGGACCTGTTCCGCTGCGCCGCTGAAAACCTGTTCCGCTGCGCCGCTGGACCTGTTCCGCTGCGCCGCTGAAAACCTGTTCGAAGTTAAGAAGATGCGAAAATTGTCACGGAGGTATAAAAACCAGAAGCTTACGATGAAGGAAGTCGAAAGCTGAGAATGTCGCCGTTGAAAAACGAGATGCGCGATGAAGGAAGCCGAATGCGCGCTTGACCGGAGCGACGATGTAAAGTTTCTGAAAAACGCTAAGCGTAGGAGCCGGGAACCTAAATAGGCATAGCCTAAAAGGAGAGAACCATCGGGACGCCAAGGATCGGATTCCGCGTGAGCGGAATTTACTAGCTCGATACCATGATAGAATTGGAACTGAACTGATTGCTTGATAAGGAAGGCACTAGGCCTTAAGTACAAACAGGGTTGGGTTGAGCAAAACTAGGGAAAGGATGGGATGGGAATCCTAGCAAATCTCCAATTGGTGAGTTGGCAGATTTGCAGGATTACGAGAGAATCCCAACCAGATAGGGTTGGGATTACAAATCTACACCCAACCTACAAAGTAACCTAACCGATATAGAATATAGTACCAAGTGTTGACCGACTATTTCTAACATATCCCAGCATGGGGCTAACAGGGGTTATCCCAGCATGGGGCTAACAGGGGTTATCCTAGCATGGGGCTAACAGGGGTTATCCCAGCATGGGGCTAACACGGGTTATCCCAGCATGGGGCTAACAGGGGTTATCCCAGCATGGGGCTAACAGGGGTTATCCCAGCATGGGGCTAACAGGGGTTATCCCAGCATGGGGCTAACAGGGGTTATCCCAGCATGGGGCTAACAGGGGTTATCCCAGCATGGGGCTAACAGGGGTTATCCCAGCATGGGGCTAACAGGGGTTATCCCAGCATGGGGCTAACAAGGGTTATCCCAGCATGGGGCTAACAGGGATTATCCCAGCATGGGGCTAGCAGGGGTTATCCCAGCATGGGGCTAACAGGGGTTATCCCAGCATGGGGCTAGCAGGGGTTATCCCAGCATGGGGCTAACAGGGGTTATCCCAGCATGGGGCTAACAGGGGTTATCCCAGCATGGGGCTAGCAGGGGTTATCCCAGCATGGGGCTAACAGGGGTTATCCCAGCATGGGGCTAACAGGGGTTATCTCAGCATGGGGCTAGCAGGGGTTATCCCAGCATGGGGCTAACAGGGGTTATCCCAGCATGGGGCTAACAGGGGTTATCCCAGCATGGGGCTAGCAGGGGTTATCCCAGCATGGGGCTAACAGGGGTTATCCCAGCATGGGGCTAACAGGGGTTATCCCAGCATGGGGCTAACACGGGTTATCCCAGCATGGGGCTAACACGGGTTATCCCAGCATGGGGCTAACAGGGGTTATCCCAGCATGGGGCTAACAGGGGTTATCCCAGCATGGGGCTAACAGGGGTTATCCCAGCATGGGGCTAACAGGGGTTATCCCAGCATGGGGCTAACAGGGGTTATCCCTGTTAGATTATACTACTCTTCTGTATCCTGCATTGATCCTATAAACCCTAGGACAGAGATAGGCACCCAAACTATGTTTGGGTGCACAACTAGGGTTAACCCTAGTTGGGGGTTGGAACCCAACCTTGGTCCAATTATTGGCCCCCAAGGTTGAGTTGAGAGATTATTGGCCCCCCCAATAATGTTGGCCCACTTTTGGCCAACATTATTGGGACCCCCCAATAATTCTCCAACCTAACTTATTGGTGGGGGGCCAATAATGATGACTAGGTATCCAACCAACCCCCCTTCCCCTAGCTTCAACTATGTAAGCCCGTATGATTCCCAATCAAATCAATGGTTCAATTTTAACATGGTAATCAGAGCTCTTACGGCCAACGCCGCTCAAGATCCTAGGACCCCTCGCGCTACTTAGCGCACCTCTCGCCGGCTCTGCCGCTCCTCTCGCGCCACTTAGCGCGCCTCACGCGCCACTTAGCGCTCCTCTTGTGCCACTTAGCGCACCTCTCCCCGGCTCTGCCGCACCTCTTGCGCCACTTAGCGCACCTCTCACCTACTCTGCCGCGCCTCTCGCGCAACTTAGCGCACTTCCGCCGGCTCTGCCGTGCCCCTCGCGCCATCTCGGCGCTCCTCTCCTCCCCTCGACCGTCCGCCGCGACGAACGCGACCGTCAGCCGCGGACGCGACGAACGCGACCGTCAGCTGCGGACGCGACGAACGCGACCGACAACCGCTGACGCGACGTCCGCGCCGACGACGAGGGCGGACGCGACGTCCGCGCCCACGACGAGGGCGGACGCGACGTCCGCGCCGACGGGCAGCGCGGACGCGCCGCCCGCGCCCACGACGAGGGCGGACGCGACGTCCGCGCCGACGGGCAGCGCGGACGCGCCGCCCGCGCCCACGACGAGGGCGGACGCGACGTCCGCGCCGACGGGCAGCGCGGACGCGCCGCCCGCGCCCACGACGAGGGCGGACGCGACGTCCGCGCCGACGGGCAGCGCGGACGCGCCGCCCGCGCCCACGACGAGGGCGGTCGCGACGTCCGCGCCGACGGGCAGCGCGGACGCGCCATCCGCGGACAGCCGCCGCGGACGGGACGAACGCGGGCAGCCGCCGCGGACGGGACGAACGCGGGCAGCCGCCGCGGACGGGACGAACGCGGGCAACGGCCGAGGACGGGACGAACGCGGGCAGCAGCTGCGGACGGGACGAACGCGGGCAGCAGCCGCGGACGGGACGAACGCGGGCAGCCGCGAACGCGACCAAACGGGGGAGTCCCCAGCTGCGGACAGCACACAACTCATCCCCACCACTGACCGCGCCGTCCCTCCGGACAGCGTCGTCACCTCTAGCACCTCCACCCTCCCCTCCTCTCCCCCCCCCCCCCCCCCCCCCCCTCCTCCCTCACTCATCATGGCGGACGAACCTTCGTCGCTTGAGCTCGCCTCGATCGACAAACTCGAGCTCCTCAACGGCACCACCGCAGTCAATTGGGTGTCGTTTGAGGAGAGTCTCTTCACGTACCTTGGCTCCGTCCGAGTGGGAGATTATTGCCTTCTTGACGTCGTCCTCGAAACGCCTCACGGCCTCCCTCCCACCCCGCCCCCGCTCCCAGGCTCCTCCCCTCCTGACGCCCCACCACTCTCGACCGAACCCGCCCCTCAAGCCCCCATCCTAGGGGCTTGGGAGGATGACCCAGACAGGTGGGCTCGCACCCTCAACAAGTACAACAAGGAGCGAGACGACTACGTCATCAAGGGCAGAGCACACGCGGCTGCCGTCGCCGCCCACGAAGCTGCTACTGTAAAGCTTGCAGAGTTCAAAGCCATCTCCGAAGCGTACTCTACTAACCTTCGTAAGCATCACTCCGATACTGCTGCATGGCGCATTGCTGACCGCCGTGCACTCACTGTCATCTTCTCGTGCGTTCCCTCCTCCCTTAAACGTGACCTTCGCCCTCCATCCTCCCCCTCTCTCTGGAAGTCTCTCTCCTCCCAATATGACCGTCAGGACTTACGCTCACTCCTCTCCCTCTTTCGCACCTTCCAAGACATCACCCTTGACTCCTCCCTCAATGCTGCCACCTTCGCTCGGCGTCTCACGGACACTGCGCAACGCCTCAATGATCGAGGCATCTTGATCTTAGACACCCTTCTTACAGCACGCATCCTTGACTGCCTCCCACCCACCTATGACACCTACCGCATCAACTTCACCTCCCAGCACATTCGTCCTCCCCCTGTAGCTGTTACCATCGACTGGCTCCTTGACAGTGAGGCTGACCTCCTGCGTGACTCTGCAACGGTCAATGCTGTTCACGCTCGCAAAGGAACCAATAACACTGGTGGAAGCAGCAGCAGCGGACCTGGACGTGGTTCAATTGGAGGAGGTCGAGGAGGCGGTTGCGGAGGCGGACGAGGAGGGCGCACTTGGGAACGCGGCGGACGTGGAGCAACTACTCCATCCACGGGTGGGTTTCCCCCGTGTCAGTACGTCATTCGTCAAGGCCCCAACAAAGGTCAGACCTGCAACCAGACCACTCATCCAACTGAAACGTGCTTCAAAGCCCTCACTGATGAATGGCTTGCACGCGGCAACACAGGTCCCCCTCCACGTTGGAACACTATCACCCCTCGCCCCACCCCTCATGATATTCGCACTCTCTCCACCTATGCACCCTCTCCACCTAACCTCCATAAGTCCTCGCTCAGCACCTCTCCCCTCACGTCCTCCAGCAAGTCCAACACCTTCTTCCCACACCCACCACCACCCCTACGCCCTCCACCCTCACCACTCCGCCTCCACCCACGCCCCCACCTCAATCCCCTCCCTCCCCCTATCCTCCTCTCTATCCTCCTCCTTATGCCGGCTGGCCCTACCCTCCCTACCCCCCATCTATGTATGGCCATAGAACTGCCGCAACTGCTGCAACTACTGAACAACCCACCTCCTCCTCTCACCCCCCCGGCTTAACACCGTTTCCTTCCACAGGCTTCATAGGTCATGTCACCACTGCTAGCTCTTGCAATGATCCTATGTATGCCAATGCTATTAATGAGTCCTCATTCCAGTACTCTGTGTCCTCCTCCTCCCAGCCCCTTGAGTTCATCCTTGACAGCGGTGCCACACACACGGTCCTTCGTGATGCAGGCACGCTCCTCCCCCTCTCCACCCCCTCCACAATCTATGGGGCTGACTCAAGCTTTGCCATACAAAGCCGTTACACCTCCACACTCCCCTGTCCCCTCTTTCCCTCAGGTACTGTCACAGGTCTCTATATCCCCTCCCTTCGTAACAACCTGGTTTCCCTTGGTGCCCTCTCAACGGCAGGGTGTCACCGCCTTATTTCCTGGTCACGCAGCATATTGTGACTAATTTCACACCTCCTCCGGTCGCTTCCTCTGCCGTGTCCATCGGTGCCCCTCCACCCACATGTACACCTTCCGCATCCCCCGCCCCACCCTTCACCAACTCTCCACACCCCATCCCCCCGCCCCCTCCCCTCCTCTCGAACCTCTCCCTCCCCCTCCAGCTCCCCCTCCCCCCTCCCTTCCCCCTCCCCCTCCCCCTCCCCCTCCCCCTCCTCCTCCCCCTCCCCCTCCCCCTCCCCCTCCCCCTCCCCCTCCCCCTTCCCCCGCCCCTTCCCCCTCCCCCCGTCTAACCCACCCTCCCCCTGTCACTGTCGTAAACTCACACACCCCACCATTCTCCTCCACCATCGCCTAGGCCATCCCAACTTTGCCACCCTTCGCCGATCCATCCTCACTAAACTCCTTGACGGTCTCCCCCTTACCCTTCCCCCCCTCCCTCCATCCCCCTCCCCTCCTTGCTCAGTTTGTGTTGAAAGCAAGCTGAAGCAACAACCACACACGAGTAACCCCTCCTTTTCCCTCCAACCCCTTGACCTCGTCCACATGGATCTGTGGGGCCCTAACCCTTCCCCCACCAGGCAAGGACATCGCTATCTCCTCATCCTGGTGGATGATCACAGTCGATACTCCTCCGTCACCCTCCTTCGTACGAAGGCGGAGGCCCCGGCTGCCATCACTGCCTGGGCTGAACAAGCACGCAACCACTTTGGTCGCCCTGTTCGCCGCTTCCATTCCGATGGAGGGGGTGAGTTCCTCGACCGCACCCTGTCCTCCTACTGCACCACTCACGGCATCCTCCACACCTACACTCTCCCTCACTCCCCTCAGCAGAATGGTGTGGCGGAGAGCCGCGTGCGGGAGATCACCAAAACGGCTCGGTGCCTCCTCGTTCACTCCTCCTGCCCACCTTCTCTGTGGGGCTATGCCATCCTTCATGCTGCCATCCTCACTAACCTCTACCCCCACCCTTCCCGTCCCACCTCCATGTGAGAATGATAGACGAAAGAATGAATGAACTAGAAATGAGATGGGTACATATAGGAAACACATAAGTGTTGTACCCTCTAGGAGCTACCCCACTACAGCCTAGATAGACCATAGTAGATAGAAGTTTGACACACCCCCATAGGCAAAGTGGGGGAGAAAAAGAGGTCACAAGACCAGTCAAGAAAAGCAAAGCAAGCTCAGGGTGGATCACAAAGTCACCACACAGTCTGAGCACAAGCAAAGGGCCATAAGGCCAGTTCACATGCAGAGTTATATAAAGGAAAGCAAACAGTATAGTGAACACAACCTAGCAAGTGTAAGCATGCAGGTATATGTATATAGAGTACAGTACAAGCAGAGTCAAGAAGTCAACAAGTGAGGCACAGTAGGTACAAGGCCTAATACAGTACAGAAACGCTGATGATCACAAGGCTGAAGTGCCTTGGTGAAAACATCAGCAGTGTTGGCCTGAGAGGCCACGTACGCAAGACGAAGCTGGCCACGCTGCTGCAACTCTCGAGCAAGGAAGTAGCGCAGAGCAATGTGCTTCGTTCTGTGCTCCAGTCTGTGCTCCTGACACAAGGCCAGCATGGCCTTGTTGTCGACGTACAGAACTGGAGGAGAACGAGGCGCCTCTCCCAAGTCGGTCAGCAGGTAGGTGAGCCAGCGAAGCTCCTGTGCAGCCATGGCCCCAGCGTAGATCTCAGCCTCACAACTGGAGCTGAGAACAGAAGAAGAGCGGGTAGACCGCCAGGAGACAGAACCTGAGCCAAGGCTGAAGGTGTAACCCTGTGACGACCGCTGAGTAGCCAAGTCGTCAACCCAGGAGGTGTCAGCGTGACCAGTGAGGACAACTCGAGCCCGTCCTCCAAGCACGAGCCCCATGCCCGATGTACTGCACAAGTATCGCAACACCCTCTTCGCAGCATCCCAGTGCACCTTTCGGTGCCTGCCGGGAGCCACGTAGCGAGCCAGAAGGCTGAGAGGGTATGCGAGGTCAGGTCGTGTGCAAGTCATCAGGTACATGAGGCAGCCCACAAGCTCTGGATACGGGTCACTCGGCTCTACGGACTCGTCCGAAGGTGGAGCTGAGAGCGAGTGACCGGTAGGCAGAGGAGTGGACTGTGGCGAGGAGTAGGTGAAGCCGAAGCGCTGAAGGACCTGCTGCACCATGTGTGACTGAGTCAAGGTAATGGTGCGCTGTGCTCTGTCCCGGGTGATCCGCAAGCCAAGATAGCTTGTTAGTTCACCCAGGTCTGTGCACGTGTGTCTCTTCTGCAGCTCGGACTTCACGTGGGCGAGTGCCTCTGTGTCAGCAGTAGCAAAGACAAGGTCGTCTACGTATACAAGAACGTAGAACGGCGGCAGAGTAGTGTCAGTGCGTAGAAACAGAGAAGGGTCAGCAGTGGAAGGAGCAAAACCAAGAGCAGCAAGAGTCGTCCTGAGCGTGTCGTGCCACTCACGGGGCGCCTGGCGGAGACCGTAGACTGGCCGCCGGAGGCTCCACTGGGTACCAGAGGGAAACGACCCAGTGAAGCCAGGTGGGCGGCGCAGCCAGATCTCCTCGTGCAGGCTGCCCTGCAGGAAGGCTGTGCTGAAGTCAAGCGAGTGGAGCTCGTAGTCACGCTGAGCAGCAACGTGCAGCAGTACCCGAAGAGTGGTCATCTTTGGGGTAGGGGAGAAGGTCTGAAAGAAGTCAACTCCCTGTCGCTGGCTGAAGCCACGTACAACGTAACGCGCCTTGAAGGCACGCGGAGAACCCGGCGGCCGCTTCAAACTGAAGATCCACATGCCACTGACAATGTTCGCCCCAGGTGGGGGAACCTCGTCTACGTAGGTGCCTGTGGACTTCCAGGAAGCCATCTCTGCGTCCATGGCTGCCTGCCACTGAGAGGAATAGGGACCCTCTATCGCCTCTGCGTAAGAGCGCGGGGTCAGGATGTCTAGTGCATCCGGGTCTCCCTCAGGGGTAAGCAGCGTGGACACGAGATGAGGTGAAGCAGCGGCAAAGCACTCAAGGTCCTCCTGTCTGTCCTCAAGGACGTCCGTGCCAAGAGCACACTCACCTCCGACGGACGGAGGACAGACAGACGCAGACTCAGCAACAAGACTAGCGGCGTAGTCTAGGCGACAGGCTGCAGCAAAGTCAACGAGCTCAGTAACAAGAGCAGACGCAGCAGTGGACGCAAACAGAGGGTCAGTGACAGCAGTGGCCAGAAAGCGCGTGACACTAGGACTAGCAGCACGAAGGGAGTCAGACTCCGGGTCCGGACCGTCAGGAAGAGAGGACGCAGGAGGAGAGGGCAGAGGGACACGCTGTGGAGCAGTAGAAGGACGCAGTGTCATAGAGTGAGTGCCTGGGACAGGAGGAAGACGCGGACGCGAAACACGACCAGCGCGAACAGGACGGACAGGCGACGCAGAACGAGACTCAGGCGACACAGGACGAGACTCAGGCTCACGACGCTCCGTAAGACCTCTAGTCGGACCAGAGTAAGGAGAAGG